TGACCTAAGTATGTTTCACTAAACAGTATATTGTTGTGCTTTGCATATTGTATTCTACATATTTTTCTTTAACTTGACCTTTTCGTTCTACAACATGCTTATAAAATGTATTCACTGTGGTATATGTAGCCATAATTCAACTCTGCAAATTTTATTTCTTATTTTCTTCCAACTTTGTTGGACCTCATATTTCTAAAGACACTTTTGCAAAATCTTTTTTCTATTCATTGTGGCCATTGTGACTACTTACTTGTTATTACATAATTCAGTAGTTACCATGGAAATGTTATGAGATTTTAGGATAAGAGAAGTCAAGTAAATGAACTTAAGCAAACATATGATCAGTCTGTTTACCGTTTAAGTTTCTTTACTGAAAAAATTAGTGTCATCACTTAGTGTTCAGGTGTCATTAACGCTTGATTTTATAATGGTGGTTATAGCATCATCTAAACCAGAGATATCACCTAACACTTCCTTTTCTAAAAACATCTATTTTTTGAAAATCTGAATATTGTTAATGTACTAAAGATTAGAACTATGGCAATTTATCTTTTTTATTGTATAGAATGAACTCTTATCTACTCTTAACTATTCTTGAATATGTTTATTTTGTTATATTAACTCCCTTAAGCAATGCTAATATGACTTAGCTATTAAATATTAAAGCAAAATATTCTCTTATGAAATCAAGCTCAAATTCTAGTATTCCCAGGCTAAAAGCTTTAGTAAGTTATTGCCCAATTATTGAAACTCTAACTCTAGTCATATAACCAAGGATAATTGGTTGTACCCACATTTTCATTCATCTTTCACTTAATTTAAAAATTCTAAGGAATCTCAAGTCAGTGGAGAAGGTTTTTGGCAAAGCAATAGCAAACACGACTGAATTTTGGAAAGAAAACCTAGAATAAAATTTATATTACTGAATTATCACTGGGTGAGTGAATGTATTGGAATGTTGCCATTTGAGTTTGGAAAATGCTGAATTTCTGAATTTCTCTGATGCTAACAATGGACTCACTGGTAGTTAACCGGTTGTATACCAGGAGGGAACTGTACTTTGGGCAGTTTTAAAGGGCCTTTTATATTTGTTTGAATAGAAAAATTGAGCTTTTTAAAGAAACATCCCTGTCATCAGTCAACACAGAGGAGTAGACATTCTCCATCATAAAGTAGGTAAATTTCTCTTTGATTTGGCTTGTATGTCCTGTTGATTATCCTGGTTAAGGAGATTGTTGATACCACCCCACCTCCATGCTATATTTAAAGCTTAAACAGGATTATAGAAAAGAAAAACTCCAACATTACTGTTGTAGGTATTTTTAACTCCGGTGTCGGCTTAAATCAGCAACCTCGGGTTCTTGTCCCACAACGTAGATAAAGGAATGCGGACACCAAAAGGATGAGTGAAAGAAGGAGTTTATTAAGCAATAAAGCTCTCCAGAAAAAGAGAGGGGGGCCCAAAATGGGTTCCCCATAGTGGAGGAGTGTTCTGGGTTTTTCTCTCTCCCTTCCAGGGGCATTCTTCTCATTTACATCATACCCGTTTCTCACTCTCCTAGCTGTTTCCTGGTCCCAGTCTTTACTGCGCATGTGCCATTGTTCAAAGTTATCCCATCTTGATTATTATCCATAAGTACCACAGGAAAGCCTCCTTAGGGGGGTAAAACTTCAATGCTAATGTCATGCTAATGATATTAGAATAAGCTTAGGTGAAGCTATTGCACTTGCGATCAAATGGCAAAAGTCCCTCTGAACAAAACATTCTGGCTTAAGAAGGTGTTCTTTACCACATTTTTGATTGCTATTTATATAGCTAGGATAGTACAGGGGCCTTCCTGCAGGTGTTACTTCTCCTCAATACCCTCCCTGTCTATGTACCTAGCCAGTATCTGAATACCTCCTCTCTCATTACCAAGAAAATGAACTCATGATGCCCACACAAACACAAATCCTTAAAAGGTAGCATTTGGGGTTTTAAGGTATCACTGAGAGGAAGTGTTTTAAGAAAGAAGAATTTTCTTGACTATCCTCCAATTAAGTATTTTTCAGTTTATTGACCCTTTGGCTACTGTGGGTTTCTGGCCTAACTGTCATTAGGAAGGTAACTGTAAATAGCATCTGGCTTAGAATTCCTGGACTCTGAGGTTTTTCTTACTCAGGATAGGTGAAACTTCCACTCTGTCTTTTTTGTTACAATATTGAAAGAAATCCTGCATATACTATAAAGATGTGCTCTTAGCATACAGCATACATACAAGAGGCAACTCTAGCCGTTAAGGTGCTGATAGGCTCATCAGCTATGAGATACCTAAGGTGACCATGGGCCTGTTTAAGAATCCACACCCACATGAACCTGAGAATCCTGGGGGTCAGCCTGTGTCTGAATGGGCTCATTCTGTTTGAATCCTAGAAAACAACTGTGCCCAGCAGTTAGAATGGTCTCAGAAGCTCCAGTGTGATGAAGTTCAAGCACACTTCCCATCAGGAGGATCCACAGTAGGCTGGTTGGGGAGGTGTAGGCTAGGCAATCTGAGTCACAGCACTCTGTTACTAGGATTGAGCCACAGTGGGGCATGGGGGACTGTATCGAGCTCTAGAAGAAGGGGTCCCTGAGGAATCAGGGGAAGCAAGCAGGGACCCCAATTCTAGGGTAATAGACTCGTAGGAATGGATTGAAGCACAGTCCTGTACCTGGAATTTGAATCTAAGCGCAGCCCACCTCCCCATCTATTGAGCAACAGCTTGGGGCCAGCAATACATGCCTTTGGTTCCCATGCCTGGGAACAAGACCTAGTTCAGAGCCTGGTGTGTTAGTCTAGGCTCACTCAAAGAACATTGTTTGAACACCTCCTACAGATCAGACTAGAAGTCGGTCATGACTACTAAACAAGATATAGCATCTTCCCTTACTGATGGTACTCTCTAGTGGAAGTCACAATCAAGAATATAGACAAGCATAATGAAAGGCAGTAAGCAGGCCCATTGGGGAAGGTAGATATGTTATGGTGGCCTGAGTCAGAGCGTCTTATCAAGACCTGAAGGCACTGGACAGATGAAAAGATCTTTCCAAAGGAACTGAAGTCCAGGCTAAGCTCTGAAGAATGGGCAAGAGCAGGAATGTGGCTCACACGAGTCGATCATGTCGATTAAGCAGGATGTGCCATTTCCAGAAGGCTTACACAATGGCCATTGAAATCATTGTTCGCATGATTTGCAGAACAACCCAGTGCCGGGACATGTGTGTCTGTGAACCAGATGTGGGTTCCCCTTACCTGGGTCAAGTGCTCCTATTCTGAGAACACCTGAGGCTGACATTGAAGTTGTCCCAGTGAAGAGTAGGGTAAAACAGAGGAAGGGATTGTGTCAAGGCCTGCTGGTTATAGCTCCTGGAAACTAGAAAGCAGAAGAAAACCAGCCTCATCCTGGTGACAATCTCCAGCGCTGTCTTCTCAGACATAGCAATATCAGAGCCACCTGCAGGGCACAGAGTTCTCACCTTTAAACATTTGCCAAGGTGGAGATCCAACCTCCGAGGCTGGTGCTTCCCTCTAGAGCTCTGTGTGCTGTTTTACCTGCTGAGGTTGTATAACAGGATTTCACAATAGTAAATCAAAGCCAGGCGGCTGATGTAGCACACAGTGACAATAGAAGTGGAATGGCTTAATTAGTAAAAAATTAACTGGCACGACTCCTATAAGCTAAAATGTACATATTGAAGGAGGCTTACTGTAACATTTATACCGTTTATTTTATAATATACTAATTCAAATGTAAAAGTGAATGTAAATTGCCAGAAATTAACATGCAATGTGAAGAAAAGTCCTTTTATCCTCTGCAACTGTAGCATTTGGCAGATTCAGGAATAAATAATCTTTTGTGGCAAGGGTATGCCTTATCAAACATATGCAGATCAGCACTAATTAATGCTAATTAAGGTTTCCTGTCTATCTAGTTGGAAAAACGTCCAAATGTTATGAAATCCAGTTAGTATGCCTATTACGCTAATTGTTTTATATGGGGTGGTTCTTAATTAAAATATGTAAATTGACCTTAATTGCTATATACTAATGGGGGTTCATGTTATCTTACTAAAAGTGACAAGATGGTGAGGAGGGGTACTTAAATGACTAATTCTGATAAATCCTTAACTAAATGACCTTTACTCAAAATTAATTTTAATTGGAAGTTGGCAAAAGAAACATTTTCCTTCTTTGTTTCTTTTTAGTTTTAAGTAATGGAAGAATGTTACTCTTTTTTGTTAATACAGCATTAGAAGCAGTTGTGGATTGTTAATTACACTTAACAAGCAAGTTAATTTTACTGTTTACTGTTTATAGTTATCAGGAAGTTATTGATATTCTCATTTAATTTTTGGGAAAAGCAACTTTCTTCTCATTGAACATGAATATATAGTTCCAATCTTATAGGTAATTTAGCCCAATTAGTTTGTTAGAATGTGTTAAAATTTGATGAACCAGTAATACTAATATATATCCTTTGACTGATCTACATTGGAATTACTTTTTAGAAATACACACACACACACACACACACACACACACACACACACACACACACTTGCTTTTTTACAACATTAACTCTTATTGGAGGAGTTAAGCCATGACTGGAGATACTTAAATAGACTGAAATTATATTTCTACATTTTACCTGCCATGTTTTTGTTTATTATTTAATTGCAAACAGATTGAAATATGTATACCCCTAATTAGTGTTAATGAGCATAAATATTTTTATTTTTTCACAATGCTAACCCTGGAATTACAGGAAATAATTTAGCTAAAGCGAATACATACTTTATTTTACCCTTTTATTCAGAAGTAGTTTATGTTCAACTATATTTTAAAGTATATTAAAAAGTCTTCTGTAAAAATGTGAGAAGGAACTTGGTAAGATTTGTTACATGGAAATGAGAATATAGTAAAGATGGTAGATTTTCTCTGTCAAAAGAAGACTCAGTATCTTTGTTCTTTCATCAGGACATCGTGACCAATGTTTCACCTAGAATCATCCGGGGAACCACCTCTGGCCCAATGTATGGCCCTGGGCAAAGCTCCTTCCTGAATATTGAGCTCATCAGCGAGAAGACAGCTGCATATTGGTGTCAAAGTGTCACTGAACTAAAGACTGACTTTCCAGACCATGTAAGTGTGATTTAACATCTAAAACAAGAGAATTGGCATAAGTTGGTGAATGTTTATTTAAACATCCAATTCATAGGCTTATAAATATTAATGTGTATAATATATTTTATTAAAGAATCTGCCAGTTGCTTTGTTGATACATAGAAAGATAAAAAAGAAAGAAAAGCTCAATAACTCATAAAAACCCACACAATGAGAGGCTTTATTATAAGTGGGTGCCATGTAGATGAGAGAAGTATCAACAGAAGCAAAAAGAAGAGAGATGAAATACTCATTTTACTGAGTTGGTTTTCACTGAATGTGGCTAATATTTATGAAGGGGATGACCTTGGGAAGAAATTGCAGACTATAAATCATTTTAAATAAAAACCTGAGGCAGAAGCAGAATATCTTCCTATATGTAGTTTATTTATATTATTTTAGTGGGAAATAATTTACCAAATAATTTTAACACCCTTAAACTAAATGAGTCAACTATCTTTTATAAAATATTTTATTTTCTCTTAAAGAACTATGCACAAAAGTGCAGTAAAATCAGGCTGAATATATTAGATAGTATTTTCCCTTCAGCAGTCCAGTTATGGTTATCCTTAATGCCATTCATTTATTCTCTGCCTTCCTCTCCCTCCACCCTCCCCCCACACACTTATTTTTCTTTCTCTTTCTTTCACTCTTTCTTGCCATGATCTCGTAATGAATGGAGGTTGAGGTTTGAGGCAATATGTTTATGTTGTAGAAAAGATTGTTCTGCCTACCTGTGTTCCTCAAAAACAAAAGAGGACACTCAAGTATTATAATGAGAAATATTTTAAAATCTAATGAAGTTCATGGATGTTTGTCTCCAAATGGATATTGGAGAATCTTACAAAGGAATGTAGAAAGCACTCTATTGCCCACCTCACCAATATTTTCTATTTTAGACAGCTTTAATTGTTTCAAAATTATCCCTTAAAAATATATGTATAAGCACTCAGGACAAATATAATTTATCTTTCTCAAGACAGGTCTCCAGATGTGAAGGTAGCTATCACGACCCATATGAAATCTGAAGCCTCTGCTTAGTAGGAATTTTTTACTTCCTGAGCTTGATGTTACAATCGTCTTTATTTCACATCATACAATTAAGTCTACATAACAATTATGCCGAGCTATTTGTTTTTACATCTTTTGAGAAGCTTTTCTCAGAATTCTAAGGACAAAAAATGGTCAACTATGAAAAGAAATGTTACTATATTTATAATCTTGACCCACAGTACTCTGCTAGGTACTGAACATGCAATATGTTACTACTATTACTAGCAGTTATAATATAGTATTAGTACTTACGTAGTACTATAACAGTTTTATGTATTTTAAATTCATTTGATTGTTCAACAACCTTATAAGATAGGTACTATTATTTTCTCCATTTCACAGGTGAAGAAACTGAGACATGCAGAGGTTAAATAACATGTCCAAGTTATATACCTAATATATGGTGACATCAGAACTTGAACTTGGAATTTGCTTTTACAAAACATGCATTCTTCTAATAATGGTGTTGTCTAGTGTTCCTGCCTATGTTGTCCTTAAAAACTCAGTATTTTTAATGCAGTGTAAGAGTAGTGTGAAATATAATTTCCCAAATATTATTTAAATAGTATTTGGCTAAGCCAGTGCATCTGGGGGGAAAAAAATCCTTTTTCCAAGAAAATAACTCCCACCACTGGCTTTTTGTTAGTACACATGATGTTTTTGCCCTCTCTTGGGCAGGAGTAAGATGTTATAATAATGACCACCAGGAAATGACAGTAGGTAGACAAGACAACTGAGACAAAATCCTAGCTTTGTTAGTTCACAGTCAAGTAGAAAGAAGAGACATATTTAGATATTCTTTTCAATTTCCCTGGCAACAATTTTCTTTTCTTATAATGCTTTTTCCTCTGAGAAAACAATGCATGCTTTTCTTGTTTCTAATTATTTCCCCATTTCGATTATATTCATTATTCTTTTTCTGTAGTCTTAGAACTAATTTCTAATATTTTTACTCCCCATATCAAAGATAACATTTTAAATACATTTAAAATGGCATTCCCATTTGAACCCAGATTAATCATGTGTGAGCACCTAGATATTGCATGCTGAGAGCAGAATATCCCCCACTGTTTTGGAATTATTCTGATGGGTTTGCCCAATGAGCTGAATGAAAGAGGGTGACCCTTCATTTTTCAAGTTTAATTATCACTCTCACTGGAGTTTTTTCACATCATTCTCAAGTATGTGCTGCCACCTTGAATGACAGGGATTGGACAGTTCAACCCACTGTGGCAGCTTTAAAGCAAAGGCCAACTTTTCCGAAAAAAAGACTGTTCTGGGAGCTTAGAGGTCAGCTAATATCAGTAGCTAATGTCTCTGTCTCCAGAGAGGTAGGCACCAGTTGGCCATGAGCCAGAAGAGCCAACTGATGGGCTTCTTGAATACAGAGGCAGTGGAACCCCAGGAGGTGTGTCGTAGAGGTTCATCTCTTATCTGTCCCAGAGTTATAACAAAGCCTACACTCATACTAGACTTCTGCTTGGCTTTCAAGTGTTCCTTTTATTTATCTGTAAATTAAATTTGGCACATTGATCATTGTAGTGACAATTTATTATTGCTAAATAAGAGGTTTTTTGGTCCTAAGCTGAGATTATACAGTGCTTAATAGGGCTTACAGAAATCAATTTTAAGTGAATCTTTTCTCCTTTTTTTAGATGAGAAAATATCGTTTATTTAGAAAGTAAATGAGAGAGAGAGAGAGAGAGAGAGAGAGATTCACTTGCCCAAGGTAGAGGAGGGGGTCACAGCTAGGAAAACATGGTGGCCAAACCTTAAAGAGCACACAACCACACCAGAGTTTAGTAAAGCAACAGCCTACATGAATCCTTGCATCCTCACTGCAAAAACCTTATGAATCATATATTTTGACCTAGGAAAGTTTTCACCAAAAAGTACATGCTGCATTTTGACCGAATCACTGAATTACCAAGCAAAGACTGACATTTTCTGTATTATTTGTGGCAGCTAAAACAAGAGTAAGGCAGAAGGTGGGGCATTAGCAGCAAATCAGCTGGTGAAAATAGAAAGGGAAATGATGGCTTTGTTAGGTAATTAATACCGGAAGAACAAGTTATATGTAAATATACATCTATTGTAATGCACCTCATTTCTGCAAAAACCCTTTCTCAGTTAATTACCTGGAGATCAGCATAGCACGGATTAGGTTCACAATAACTCCTAGGAAGCCCATCTTCATCCCTGTTCCTAAAAGTGCTTTACCAATGAGTGGCCTCAGAACGCAGAGCTCTTAGCCTTCTGCATGTGCTGTGGACTTCTTAGGCACTCTAGTGATGCTTAGGAGTCTCTTTCCAAAATAATATTTTTGAATGCAAAAAAGAAAATCCAAAAGGTTGCAAAGGATTCCCATTAAATTAAAATAAATTTCTCAAAGTATTTTTAAAAATAGGTGACACAGATATGTTGCTCTTTATCAAGGCACAAGTAATGCGATCTAGTGATTCTGATGACTCCTGCAATTTTGATGTCCTAGTGAGTATAAGTACTTCAGATTTCTGAGCAACACTACTAAGATTTTTTTGTAATTTCTGTTGGTGCACAATTACAGGTGTCAGTAGATGTTCTGTTGACATCTACCTGTCCCCATGCTTATTTCTTTTAAATTAATGTGGAAACTGGCTGTGGGAACAGCTATTGAAAGGAAGGCTAGTATGTCCCCAGGAAACAGTTGCCTTTTTCACACTAGAGCTGAAGCAGTGATTTTCTAAGATTGTTTATGAGTCCTAGAGATCCTGGATACTTCCCTTCCTCCTTTCTTTGTCAAAATCCAGAACAAATTTTATATCAGATTTTCTGATGGCATTATTCTGCTGACTCCAAATAAGATTGTTCTAGCTTACAAAAAATAAAAGTACGTCATAAGGGTGGTGTAAATTTAAGATGAGAAAGTTAACCCATGCCCAGTTATCCTAACAAAACATGGTTTTTGCTTTTTTGGAGTTGCTGTAATCTAGGAGCCAGAGGCAGAAGGCTTAAGGTCAAAATGGATTTGAATCACAAATCTCTGGCTTGCTTGTTATAGACATTCTTAACCTAGGCTTCTCATCTGTGTGATAATAGCACCTATCAGAAGGTTGTTGTAAAAATTAAAGGAGATATTATTTACAACATTTTGACACTCTGCAATTATTCACTCTCATAAGTTATATTGCATGGAATATCTTTACACATTTGGTTTTTATTCCTATTTTAAAATAATAATTTCTTTTCATATATTCTGCAAGAGAGATTTGGAAAGTCAAGAGTAACGGAATGTTTATAGCTCTTGAAGTATATTGCCCAACTGATTTTCAAAAACTCTGTGAACTAATGGTTTATGTAAAAACATCATTTCAGAAGTAGTTACCAATTAAAAAATTAAAGACTAACTCACTAAAGATGCTTTTTAGTTACTTTTCTGAATTTTAGCTCATTACATGCCCTGTATCATGTAAGGTCTTCAGAATTCTTGTCTTATGTTTTATTCATTATACTTCCCTACTTTGATATCATTCATTCACTTTACTTCACAGCTTCTCATTAAAACAGCACTTCAGTGTTATTTTCTTGTTATCAGCATAGAAGTAAAGAAAAATATTAAAACGAAGCAAGGGCAGCAAAAATGAATCAGGATGCATAATACAGCTTACAGTTCTGTGACTAGTTTCTGGCTCCAGGTAGCCAAATATTTTTTTGAGACAGGATATTTCTAGTTCTTTATAAGAAAACTTTAGCCACAACCTAGATGGAAATGGGGACTGTATTTGCCCTCCCAAATGAAAAAACAACAACAAAAATCTTTAAAAATGGAAAACAATAGTTTGTAAGACCTTAAGCATTAGACACTAAAGGACAATGGTCACTGAGAGATGGAAACATGAGATGAGCCCTGCCATTGCCCCAGGCCCTGAGGAGGAAATGCAGCTAAG